TCCTTGTTTTCTAACGCTTTCCTGTTCGAGGAGTGAAAGGGTGGTGTGTGTGGTGCGTGAGTGTTTTGAGTTTAATTTGTGAGTGAGTTAGGTGATTGAGGAGTGGTTGAATTGGGGTGGTGGTGTGTGTCCTTTTGCTACCTTTCCCTTGGTTGTTGGTTCGTGAGTGGTGGTGAGTGATGGTGGTGGTGGTGGTTTTTTTAGTTGCTAAACCTTAATTAGTGAGAGAGTGCACGTGAGTGAGTGAGTGAGTGAGTGAGTGAGTGAGTGATTGAGTGAGTGTGTGTGTGTGTTCCTTAGTTGCTAACCTTTCGTTAGGTTAAAATCGCTATAGAGCTCATGAGGAGTTGCACAGCCAGATTGACCACTATAGCTAGAAATAAGGGTTATGTCTATCAGCCTGGAGATGTTCATTAGGTCACCCTGTTGTTGCAGTACATTTCCTGGACAAACTTGTTGCCTGTTAAAGGTTTAAAAAGGCATTCCATAGTTTGTAATTTACTATTTAAAATGTCAGACTTCATTCCCCGTTTTCGAAAAATCTATCAACCTCTACAAAAATGTCAATTAATTATATAATCCACACAATAATTCACATTTCCTGTTGCTGCAGGATTATTTTCCTGCTGTGTGAAACTGGCTCAAATTAAGATCCTACATCTGTAGGACTCTCTCAGCCTACTGTACACAGAGGTTATAGGTGTTGTAGAGTGTATAGAGGGGGGATAGATACTGTATATAGTGGATCTAGGTGTTGTAGGGGGTATAAGGGGGGATAGATACTGTATATAGTGGATCTAGGTGTTGTAGAGTGTATAGAGGGGGATATATACTGTATATAGTGGATCTAGGTGTTGTAGAGTGTATAAGTGGGGATAGATACTGTATATAGTGGATCTAGGTGTTGTAGGGTGTATCAGGGGGGATAGATACTGTATATAGTGGATCTAGGTGTTGTAGAGTGTATAAGGGGGGATAGATACTGTATATAGTGGATCTAGGTGTTGTAGAGTGTATAAGGGGGGATAGATACTGTATATAGTGGATCTAGGTGTTGTAGAGTGTATAAGGGGGATATATACTGTATATAGTGGATCTAGGTGTTGTAGAGTGTATAAGGGGGGATAGATATAGTGAATGTGTTCATGTCTTATATTTTTATATCACCACCACCACTCCAGCAGCTATCACCACCACTCAGGAAGCAGCTATCACCAGCACCACTCCAGCAGCAGCTATCACCACCACCACCACTCCAGCAGCTACACACCACCACCACCACTCAGGAAGCAGCTATCAAACCACCACACAAACTCACAAGCAGCCGCTATCACCACCCACCACACCCAGCAGCTATCACCACACACACCACTCCAGCAGCAGCTATCACAACCACCACCACCACTCCAGCAGCAGCTATCACAACCACCACCACCACTCCAGCAGCTATCACCACCACCACCACCCCAGCAGCTATCACCACCACCACCACTCCAGCAGCTATCATCACCAGCACCACTCCAGCAGCTATCACCACCACCACCACTCCAGCAGCAGCTATCACCACCACCACCACTCTCCAGCAGCTATCACCACCACCACCACTCCAGCAGCAGCTATCACCACCACCACCACTCCAGCAGCAGCTATCACCACCTCCACCACTCAGGAAGCAGCTATCACCACCACCACCACTCCAGCAGCAGCTATCACCACCACCACCACTCCAGCAGCAGCTATCACCACCACCACGACTCCAGCAGCAGCTATCACCCACCACCCACCACTCCAGCCAGCTATCACCCCACCACCACTCCAGGCAGCTTATCAACCACCACCACCAACTCCCGCAGCTCATCACCACCACCACTCCAGCAGCTATCACCACCACCAACCACTCCAGCAGCTATCACCAACCCACCACCACGGTGGCAGCAGCTCTCAACCACCACCACCACCACTGCCCGGCAGAGCTATCCCACCACCCCCACCACTTCCAGCAGATACACCACCAACCACTCCAGCAGGCTATCACCACCACCACCACTCCAGCAGCTATCAACCACCACCACCACTCCAGAAGCAAGCTATTCACAACCACCACCACCACTCCAGCAGCAGCTATCACAACCACCACCAACCACTCCAGCAGCAGCTATCAAACCACCAACCCACTCCAGCAGCTATCATCACCAGCACAACTCCAGCAGCTATTCACCACCACCCACCACCCACTCCAGCAGCAGCTATCACCACCACCACCACTCAGCAGCTATCACCACCCACCACCACTCCAGCAGCAGCTATCACCACCACCACCACTCCAGCAGCAGCTATCACCACCACCACCACTCCAGCAGCAGCTATCACCACCACCACCACTCCAGCAGCAGCTATCACCACCACCACCACTCCCCAGCAGCTATCACCACCACCACCACTCCAAGCAGCAGCTATCACCACCACCACCACTCCAGCAGCAGCTATCACCACCACCACCACTCCAGCAGCAGCTATCACCACCACCACCACTCCAGCAGCCATCACCACCACCACCACCCTCAGCAGCAGCTATCACCACCACCACCACTCCAGCAGCATATCACCACCAACCACCACTACAGCAGCAGCTATCACCACCACCACCACTCAAGCAGCAGCTATCACCACAAAACCACCACTCCAGCAGCAGCTATCACCACCACCACCACTCCTCCAGCAGCTATCACCACCACCACCAACTCCAGCAAGCTATCACACACCACCACTGGCAGCAGGCAGCTATCACCACCACCACCACTCCAGCAGCAGCTATCACCACCACCACCACTCCAGCAGCAGCTATCACCACCACCACCACTCCAGCAGCAGCTATCACCACCACCACCACTCCAGCAGCTAACCACCACCACCACTCCAGCAGCTATCACTACCACCACCACTCCAGCAGCTATCACCACCACCACAACTCCAGCAGCTATCACCACCACCACCACCACTCCAGCAGCAGCTATCACCACCACCACCACTCCAGCAAGCTATCACACCACCACCACTCCAGCAGCAGCTATCACCACCACCACCACTCCAGCAGCAGCTATCACCACCACCACCACTCCAGCAGCAGCTATCACCACCACCACCACTCCAGCAGCTATCACCACCACCACCAATCCAGCAGCTATCACCACCACACTCCAGCAGCAGCTATCACCACCACCACCACTCCCCAGCAGGCTATCACACCACCACCATCCAGCAGCTATCACCACCCCCAGCAGCAGCTATCACCACCACCACCACTCCAGCAGCTATCACCACCCACCACCACTCCAGCAGCTATCACCACCACCACCACTCCAGCAGCAGCTATCACCACCACCACCACTCCAGCAGCTATCACCACCACCACCACTCCAGCAGCTATCACCACCACCACCACTCCAGCAGCTATCACCACCACCACCACTCCAGCAGCAGCTATCACCACCACCACCACTCAGCAGCAGCTATCACCACCACCACCACTCCAGCAGCAGCTATCACCACCACCACCACTCCAGCAGCAGCTATCACCACCACCACCACTCCAGCAGCAGCTATCACCACCACCACCACTCCAGCAGCTATCACCACCACCACCACTCCAGCAGCTATCACCACCACCACCACTCCAGCAGCTATCACCACCAGCACCACTGCAGCAGCAGCAACTTCCGCTGCTGTCGTATCAACTGACCCTCCATCTTCTAGTGAAGGAACCCTGAGTCTTCAGTTCAGTCTCAACCAGACATTCAACTCGGATCTTTCCAACCCGTCCTCTTCAATGTTCAAGACTCTGGCTGCCAAAGTGGTCTCTGAGGTACGTATCGGGTGATTCCACGCCAGCGTAGGTGGACAATACTTTTTGGTATCTCAGATTGTTCTGGCAATTCTCACACAGAAACGTCATTGGGAGGAAAGCTGTTTGACAGACTTTTTACATTTGTATCACAAACCATTTTTATTTTTAAATCATGATGACAGTGGCCATTTTAGACCCTTTTTAGACCTGTACATGCCTGTTGTAAAAAAGACCCTATGATCAGTGAACTGTTCACGATACAGACAACATCTTGGTGTCATAATACTCCTAATATAGTGTGTTCTCAAATATAGAGTATGTCTACATTCTGAAATAGAAAATGTCACATTCATTTATTCAACAAAATAATATTAAAGATGCACTGGGCAGAAATCGCTCCGCCATTTCCTGGTTGCTAAAATTCTAATAGTTCGCTAAAATTTCAATTTTTGTGACAAAACAAATATATTTTTAATAACCAAAAATATTGTATTTTTAGCTGTTTGAAACTGGTGTACAAAGCCTAAAGTGAAATACGCAAAAACCTAAACTTAAGAATGAGAAGCATCGAAATAGCGCACGTAGAACAGATGTACCACTTCTTCGACTTGCTTTCAATGAGAACGACACACATTTCTATGGGAATTTGGTCGGGTCGCCCAAAAAAAGTTACATATCGCAGCTTTAATATCTCAAAAGTACCGTTTTTGATTTGGGACAATATACTCTTCAAAACACGTCAAACTTCCAGAGTGGGCTCTCAGGTACATTTAATGATATGACCCATTTTATACATAGAAATTGACATTATAGGTCATTTACTAAATCACAGCCCCCCTCCTTAAGGATTGTACATTCAGCAAATCACCAGCAGAGGGAGTTCCCTTTGAATCCATTTACCATTAACAGTGTTGGTGGTGATCATAAAAATCGATCAGAACTTCAGAAATCAGCAGAGAGCCCGCTCTGGAAATGGGATGTTCCTATAGAGTATATTGTTCCAGACAATATGTCTTAAAATGAACAAAAAAAAAAAAAAACGGGTACTTTTGAGAGGTCTGTTTGCTGTGAAAGACAATTAAAACAAAGCTTCTATTAATGCAGTCAAAGGGCCCTGTTTTCATTTAACCTTTGATCATCCTGTGGTAATCTTTCAATGCAGGTGAACAGGGTTTATGCTAGGACCCCAAGCTTTCGTCGTTCCATTGTCAACTCATTCAGGTAAGTGTATGAATTCTCATTACCGACTGACTGGGCTTTTTGTTCTACCTGATATTATTTTTAGTACTACATTTATATATTGATTACTGCATTGTTGGGTTCAGAGCTAGTTAAAAAAAAGGCTTTTCACTGTACTTGTGAGCGTGATATTAAAAACTTGAAAACTTTGACGATGACGGTGATTTCTGAGGGTTGTCCATTTTCTCTCCTTCTCCCGAGTAGGAGTGGATCTGTAGTTACCAACATGACCCTCGTGTTTGACAACAAAACTTCAGTTCCCAGCTCAAGCAGCGCACAAGCAACTTTCACCAACAGTTCCACCTCCCTGAACATTGTATCAGGAAGCACAATTGTTGGTAAGTATTCACCGCTGTGGGCGGACTGGTCATCTGGCATTTCGGGCAAATGCCCAGATGGGCTGGTCCATTTCCAGCCCAGTGGGCCTGTCTAACGTGTTTTTTTTTGTTGCAAAAAATTATAATTATCTGGTTAATAATGGGGGCCTCAAGGGAAAAACGGGCCAGTGTGTTAGAAATCCCAGGGCCAATTTCTGGTCTCAGTCCGCCCCTGTTTCACTGTCTCCATACACATCTATAAAGAGCAAAGTCAACATTTGAACAGAAACATGAAAAGACAATCCACTTTTATAATTTACTGAACCATATCTGTTTTTACTTTTTCAGACTCATCAGCCACTCCAGCAGCTATCACCACCACCACCACTCCAGCAGCTATCACCACCACCACCACTCCAGCAGCTATCACCACCACCACCACTCCAGCAGCTATCACCACCACCACCACTCCAGCAGCTATCACACAGCACCACTCCAGCAGCTATCACCACCCCCCACCAGCAGCAGCTAACCACCACCACCACTCCAGCAGCAGCTATCACCACAACCACCACTCCGCAGCAGCTATCACCACCACAACTACCCAGCAAGCTATCACCACCACCACCCTCCACAGCAGCTATCACCACCCCCACCACTCCAGCAGCTATCACCACCACACCACTCAGCAGCAACAATACACAGACAAACAAGCAGACTATCAACCACACAAACAGCACACATAACCAGAGCAGCTATCACCACCACCACCAATCAGGCAGCAGCTATCAACCACCACACCACTCCAGCAGCAGCTATCACCACACACACTACACACTAACCAACCCCAACAGCAGCTATCACAACCACCCACTCCAGCAGCAATCACCACCACCATCCAGCAGCAGCATACACCACCAACCAACCACTCCAGCAGGGCTATCCTAAACACCACCACCACTCAGCAGCAGCTATCACCACCACCAACCACTCAGCAGCAGCTATCACCACCACCACCTCCAGCAGCTATCACCACCACCACTACCAGACAGCTCACCAACCCACTCCGCAGCTATCACCACCATCAGCAGCACACCACCACCACTCCAGCAGCAGCTATCACCACCACCACCACTCCAGCAGCAGCTATCACCACCACCACCACTCCAGCAGCAGCTATCACCACCACCATACTCCAGCAGCAGCTATCACCACCACCACTACTCCAGCAGCAGCTATCACCACCACCACCACTCCAGCAGCTATCACCACCACACCCACTCAAGCAGCAGCTATACACCACCACCACTCCAGCAGCAGCTATCACCACCACCACCCACTCCAGCAGCAGCTATCACCACCACCACCACTTCAGCAGCAGCTATCACCACCACCACCACTCCAGCAGCAGCTATCACCACCCACCACTCAGCAGCAGCTATCACCACCACCACCACTCCAGCAGCTATCCACCACCAACCACCTAGCAGCAGCTATCACCACCACCACCACAAAGCAGCAGCTATCACACACCACCACACTCACAGCAGCAGCTATCACCACCACACCACTCCAGAGCAGCTATCACCACCACCACCACTCAGCCAGCTATCACCACCCCATCAGCAGCTATCACCACCACCACCACTCGCAGCAGCTATCAACCACCACCACCACTCCAGCAGCAGCTATCACCACCACCACCACTCCAGCGAGCTATCACCACCACACCACTCCAGCAGCAGCTATCACCACCACCACCACTCCCAGCAGCAGCTATCACCCACCACCACCACTCCAGCAGCAGCTATCACCACCACCACCACTCCAGCAGCAGCTATCACCACCACCACCACTCCAGCAGCCAGCTATCACCACCACCACCACTCCAGCAGCAGCTATCACCACCACCACCACTCCAGCAGAGCTATCACCACCACCACCACTCCAGCAGCAGCTATCACCACCACCACCACTCCAGCAGCTATCACACCACCACCACTCCAGCAGCAGCTATCACCACCACCACCACTCCAGCAGCAGCTATCACCACCACCACCACTCCAGCAGCAGCTATCACCACCACCACCACTCCAGCAGCAGCTATCACCACCACCACCACTCCACAGCAGCTATCACCACCACCACACTCCAGCAGCAGCTATCACCACCACCACCCACTCCAGCAGCAGCTATCACCACCAACCACCACTCCAGCAGCAGCTATCACCACCACCACCACTCCAGCAGCAGCTATCACCACCACCACCACTCCAGCAGCAGCTATCAACCACACCCACACTCCAGCAGAAGCTATCACCACCACCAACCAACTCCAGCAGCAGCTTCACACCACCACCACTCCAGCGCAGCTATCACTCACCACCAACCACTCCAGCAGGCAGCTATCACCACCACCACCACTCCAGCAGCCTATCACCACCCACCACCCACTCCAGCAGAGCTATCACCAACCACCCAACCCCTCCCGCAAAAGCTTCCCACCCCCACCCCCCAGCAGAAGCTAAACCACCACACCACTCCCGCAGCCTTCACCAACCCCCTCCAGCACCCACACAAAACCCCCACCACTCCAGCAGCCAAAACACCACCACCCCCCCGCAGAGTATCAACCCCCACCCCCACTCCCGCGCAGTTTCACCACCAAAAAACTCCAGCAGCAGCTTCACCCCACCACCCAAAACCCGAGCAGCTTCACCCCCACCACCAACCAGCGAGTATCACCACCCCCACCACTCCAGCAGCAGCATACCCCCACCCCCACTTTCCCGCACAGCATCCCACCCCACCCCAAATCCAGCAGCAGCTTCACCACCCCCACCCTCCAGCACAGCTTTACCACCCCCAAACCCAGAGCCACACCCCCCCCCAGCAGCAGTATCACCACCCACCACTCCAGAGCAGCATCACCACCACCACCACTCCAGCAGCTATCACCACCACCACCACTCCAGCAGCTATCACCACCAGCACCACTCCAGCAGCAGCAACTGACCCTCCATCTTCTAGTGAAGGAACCCTGAGTCTTCAGTTCAGTCTCAACCAGACATTCAACTCGGATCTTTCCAACCCGTCCTCTTCAATGTTCAAGACTCTGGCTGCCAAAGTGGTCTCTGAGGTACGTATCGGGTGATTCCACGCCAGCGTAGGTGGACAATACTTTTTGGTATCTCAGATTGTTCTGGCAATTCTCAAACAGAAACGTCATTGGGAGGAAAGCTGTTTGACAGGCTTTTTACATTTATATCACAAACCATTTTTTTTGGAAAAATCATGATGAAAGTGGCCATTTTAGACTCTTTTTAGACCTGTACATGCCTGTTGTAAAAAAGACCCTATGATCAGTGAACTGTTCACGATACAGACAACATCTTGGTGTCATAATACTCCTAATATAGTGTGTTCTCAAATATAGAGTATGTCTATATTCTGAAATAGAAAATGTCACATTCATTTATTCAACAAAATAATATTAAAGATGCACTGGGCAGAAATCGCTCCGCCATTTCCTGGTTGCTAAAATTCTAATAGTTCGCTAAAATTTCAGTTTTTGTGACAAAACAAATATATTTTTAATAACCAAAAATATTGTATTTTTAGCTGTTTGAAACTGGTGTACAAAGCCTAAATTGAAATACGCAAAAACCTAAACTTAAGAATGAGAAGCATCGAAATAGCGCACGTAGAACAGATCTACCACTTCTTCGACTTGCTTTCAATGAGAACGACACACATTTCTATGGGAATTTGGTCGGGTCGCCCAAAAAAAAGTTACATATCGCAGCTTTAATATCTCAAAAGTACCGTTTTTGATTTGGGACAATATACTCTTCAAAACACGTCAAACTTCCAGAGTGGGCTCTCAGGTACATTTAATGATATGACCCATTTTATACATAGAAATTGACATTATAGGTCATTTACTAAATCACAGCCCCCCTCCTTAAGGATTGTACATTCAGCAAATCACCAGCAGAGGGAGTTCCCTTTGAATCCATTTACCATTAACAGTGTTGGTGGTGCTCATAAAAATCGATCAGAACTTCAGAAATCAGCAGAGAGCCCGCTCTGGAAATGGGATGTTCCTATAGAGTATATTGTTCCAGACAATTTGTCTTAAAATGAACAAAAAAACAAAAAAAAAACGGGTACTTTTGAGAGGTCTGTTTGCTGTGAAAGACAATTAAAACAAAGCTTCTATTAATGCAGTCAAAGGGCCCTGTTTTCATTTAACCTTTGATCATCCTGTGGTAATCTTTCAATGCAGGTGAACAGGGTTTATGCTAGGACCCCAAGCTTTCGTCGTTCCATTGTCAACTCATTCAGGTAAGTGTATGAATTCTCATTACCGACTGACTGAGGCTTTTTGTTCTACCTGATATTATTTTTAGTACTACATTTATATTGATTACTGCATTGTTGGGTTCAGAGCTAGTTAAAAAAAGGCTTTTCACTGTACTTGTGAGCGTGATATTAAAAACTTGAAAACTTTGACGATGACGGTGATTTCTGAGGGTTGTCCATTTTCTCTCCTTCTCCCGAGTAGGAGTGGATCTGTAGTTACCAACATGACCCTCGTGTTTGACAACAATACTTCAGTTCCCAGCTCAAGCAGCGCACAAGCAACTTTCACCAACAGTTCCACGTCCCTGAACATTGTATCAGGAAGCATAATTGTTGGTAAGTATTCACCGCTGTGGGCAGACTGTTCATCTGGCATTTCAGGCAAATGCCCAGATGGGCTGGTCCATTTCCAGCCCAGTGGGCCTGTCTAACGTGTTTTTTTTTGTTGCAAAAAATTATAATTATCTGGTTAATAATGGGGGCCTCAAGGGAAAAACGGGCCAGTGTGTTAGAAATCCCAGGGCCAATTTCTGGTCTCAGTCCGCCCCTGTTTCACTGTCTCCATACACATCTATGAAGAGCAAAGTCATCATTTGAACAGAAACATGAAAAGACAATCCACTTTTATAATTTACTGAACCATATCTGTTTTTACTTTTTCAGACTCATCTTAGCCACCAGCAGTTCACCCCACCACCATCCCCGCAGCTATCACCACCACCCCCCCATCCAGCGCTATACCCCCACCACCCCCCAGCGATCACCCCCACCCCCCTCCCGCAGCTTCCCAGACCACTCCCGCAGCATCACATCACCACCCCCCCAGAGAGTATACCACCCCCACCACTCCCGCAGGAGCTATCACCAAACCCCCACCCCTCCGCAGCAGTTACCAACCACCACTCCCGCGCAGCTATCAACCCCCCACCCCCCCAGCAGCAGCTATACCCCCCACCACACTAGGTATCACCACCCCAAACCCCCCCCCCGCAGTATATCACCAGCACCACTCCCGCAGCTACACCCCCACCACCCCTCCAGCAGTTCACCACCCCCAACCCCTCCAGCAGCAGCATCAACACCACCCCCACTCCCGCAGAATACCACCACCACCACCCAGCAGCACCACCACCACCGCCACCCAGCCTATCCCACCACCACTCCGCAGCTTCACACCCCACCACTCCAGAGAGCTTCACCCCCACCACCCCCCATCCAGCAGATCACCACCACCACCACTCCAAACAGCTTCACCACCACCCCCACTCCGCAGTACACCACCAAAAACTCAGCAGCTATCACCACCACTCCCGCAGCAGATCACCACCCCCACCACCCGCGCAGCATCACCCCCACCCCCCACTCCAGCGAGCATCACCACACCCCTAATCCCGAGAGTATCACCACCCCCACCATCCAAGGGAGAGCTATCACCACCACCCCTACCCAGAGAGCTATAAACCCCCCCCCCACTCCAGCAGTATCCCACCACCCCCACCAAGCAGAGCACACCAACCCCCACCCCCCAGCAGCAGCTATACCCCACCACCACCCAGCAGCATCACCACACCCCCTCCCCCAGGCTATCAACCACCCCATCCAGCAGCAGTATACCACACCACCACTCCAGCAGAGCTATCACCACCACCACCACTCCCGCAGCATCACCCGCAGCTATCACACCACCACCACTCCAGCAGCAGCTATCACCACCACCACTCCAGCAGGCTATCACCACCACCACCACTCCAGCAGCTATCCCACCACCACCACTCCAGCAGCTATCACCACCACCACTCACACTTCACCCCACCACCCACTCCAGCAGCAGCTATCACCACCACCACCACTCCAGCAGCAGCTATCACCACCACCACCACTCCAGCAGCTATCACCACCACCACCACTCCAGCAGCTATCACCACCACCACCACTTCCGCTGCTGTCGTATCAACTGACCCTCCATCTTCTCGTGAAGGAACCCTGAGTCTTCAGTTCCGTCTCAACCAGACATTCAACTCGGATCTTTCCAACCCGTCCTCTTCAATGTTCAAGACTCTGGCTGCCAAAGTGGTCTCTGAGGTACGTATCGGGTGATTCCACGCCAGCGTAGGTGGACAATACTTTTTGGTATCTCAGATTGTTCTGGCAATTCTCACACAGAAACGTCATTGGGAGGAAAGCTGTTTGACAGACTTTTTACTTTTGTATCACAAACCATTATTTTTTTTAAATCATGATGACAGTGGCCATTTTAGACCCTTTTTAGACCTGTACATGCCTGTTGTAAAAAAGACCCTATGATCAGTGAACTGTTCACGATACAGACAACATCTTGGTGTCATAATACTCCTAATATAGTGTGTTCTCAAATATAGAGTATGTCTACATTCTGAAATAGAAAATGTCACATTCATTTATTCAACAAAATAATATTAAAGATGCACTGGGCAGAAATCGCTCCGCCATTTCCTGGTTGCAAAAATTCTAATAGTTCGCTAAAATTTTAGTTTTTGTGACAAAACAAATACATTTTTAATAACCAAAAATATTGTATTTTTAGCTGTTTGAAACTGGTGTACAAAGCCTAAAGTGAAATACGCAAAAACCTAAACTTAAGAATGAGAAGCATCGAAATAGCGCACGTAGAACAGATGTACCACTTCTTCGACTTGCTTTCAATGAGAACGACACACATTTCTATGGGAATTTGGTCGGGTCGCCCAAAAAAAAGTTACATATCGCAGCTTTAATATCTCAAAAGTACCGTTTTTGATTTGGGACAATATACTCTTCAAAACACGTCAAACTTCCAGAGTGGGCTCTCTGGTACATTTAATGATATGACCCATTTTATACATAGAAATTGACATTATAGGTCATTTACTAAATCACAGCCCCCCTCCTTTAGGATTGTACATTCAGCAAATCACCAGCAGAGGGAGTTCCCTTTGAATCCATTTACCATTAACAGTGTTGGTGGTGCTCATAAAAATCGATCAGAACTTCAGAAATCAGCAGAGAGCCCGCTCTGGAAATGGGATGTTCCTATAGAGTATATTGTTCCAGACAATATGTCTTAAAATGAACAAAATAAAAAAAAACGGGTCCTTTTGAGAGGTCTGTTTGCTGTGAAAGACAATTAAAACAAAGCTTCTATTAATGCAGTCAAAGGGCCCTGTTTTCATTTAACCTTTGATCATCCTGTGGTAATCTTTCAATGCAGGTGAACAGGGTTTATGCTAGGACCCCAAGCTTTCGTCGTTCCATTGTCAACTCATTCAGGTAAGTGTATGAATTCTCATTACCAACTGACTGGGGCTTTTTGTTCTACCTGATATTATTTTTAGTACTACATATATTGATTACTGCATTGTTGGGTTCAGAGCTTGTTAAAAAAAATGCATTTCACTGTACTTGTGAGCGTGATATTAAAAACTTGAAAACTTTGACGGTGATTTCTGAGGGTTGTCCATTTTCTCTCCTTCTCCCGAGTAGGAGTGGATCTGTAGTTACCAACATGACCCTCGTGTTTGACAACCAGACTTCGGTTCCCAGCTCAAGCAGCGCACAAGCAACTTTCACCAACAGTTCCACCTCCCTGAACATTGTATCAGGAAGCGTAATTGTTGGTAAGTATTCACCGCTGTGGGCGGACTGGTCATCTGGCATTTCGGGCAAATGCCCAGATGGGCTGGTCCATTTCCAGCCCAGTGGGCCTGTCTAACGTGTTTTTTTTTTGTTGCAAAAAATTATAATTATCTGGTTAATAATGGGGGCCTCAAGGGAAAAACGGGCCAGTGTGTTAGAAATCCCAGGGCCAATTTCTGGTCTCAGTCCGCCCCTGTTTCACTGTCTCCATACACATCTATAAAGAGCAAAGTCAACATTTGAATGGAAACATGAAAAGACAATCCACTTTTATAATTTACTGAACCATATCTGTTTTTCTTACTTTTTCAGACTCATCAGCCACATCAGGAAGTGCTCCCCGACCCACTGCCTTCTCTCTGGCTGCCTTGCCTCTCAGTTTGGCTCTGTTAATGGTACAGCTGCTGGCTAGCTAATAGCCTGGGCCATAGCTGCTGTGGCTCTGCTAGCTGCCGGCTAGCTAATAGCCTGGGCCATAGCTGCTGTGGCTCTGCTAGCTGCCGGCTAGCTAATAGCCTGGGCCATAGCTGCTGTGGCTCTGCTAGCTGCCGGCTAGCTAATAGCCTGGGCCATAGCTGCTGTGGCTCTGCTAGCTGCCGGCTAGCTAATAGCCTGGGCCATAGCTGCTGTGGCTCTGCTAGCTGCCGGCTAGCTAATAGCCTGGGCCATAGCTGCTGTGGCTCTGCTAGCTGCCGGCTAGCTAATAGCCTGGGCCATAGCTGCTGTGGCTCTGCTAGCTGCCGGCTAGCTAATAGCCTGGGCCATAGCTGCTGTGGCTCTGCTAGCTGCCGGCTAGCTAATAGCCTGGGCCATAGCTGCTGTGGCTCTGCTAGCTGCCGGCTAGCTAATAGCCTGGGCCATAGCTGCTGTGGCTCTGCTAGCTGCCGGCTAGCTAATAGCCTGGGCCATAGCTGCTGTGGCTCTGCTAGCTGCCGGCTAGCTAATAGCCTGGGCCATAGCTGCTGTGGCTCTGCTAGCTGCCGGCTAGCTAATAGCCTGGGCCATAGCTGCTGTGGCTCTGCTAGCTGCCGGCTAGCTAATAGCCTGGGCCATAGCTGCTGTGGCATCAATCAACGGTTTCCCAGCTCTCATAGATACAGCCTTAAAGCTAGAATCTTTAGTTGCTACACCCATTTTTTCACATAGAAATTAATTATATGTAGCCATTGATTCTTGAAGAATATAACATATAAATACCTCATGAGTTTAGTTCAACTGTCGTACCCCATCAGAACCCAAAATATAAAGATTGTTTTACTCCAATGTTTCTAAACAATGCAAATGTAAACAAACACTGTATAGCCTCAAAACATTATTAAAACTATCATTTTGATATCATGGATGGTCAGTCCTTGCATCCATAGCTCTGTCTATGAATTTGAGATTGGTCACATTTTTATTACCAAAAAAAGAGAGCGGGTTGTGAATTTGTTATTGTTTCAATTAAGGACTCTAGCTTTAAGATGAATTACCTTAAGCGTGAGAGTACACAACACATTTTAACCGTGTTAATTGCCAAAATATATATTTATTTTATGTACATTCCCCTACATTCATACACAAAAACTCAGCTAATTACTTTTTGATGTCAAGTACGATATTTGTGACATCCTTTAAGAATTCGTATTGTTTTTGTTCATGAATATTGATATTCATAGTATTGTTAATTAAGGGATACATTTTTCTATGGATTTTTTATTTTTACAAACCAATACTAAACTGTATGTGACAAGTTTAAATGGATATACCTTGGGCTAGATTCTATCTGATCCGTGCTAACTGAAATCCGAATAGCGATTGTTTTGATGGTGTCGGAGGTGGAACTGCGATAGAGCGGCCAAATCCACAAGTGGGCCCCCCTAAAGCGGACATTGCCATTGGCTGCACGGAATTGCATCAACAGAAAAATCCCCATGCAGCCTTGTTCGAAACACTGGAATGTGAGATGTAAACTACACCTAGATAAGGCTGATGGAGATCCTCATTATAATGATTTTCAATTTGAGATTCATTTCTATATATATATATATATAGACTACATTTTCTCCTTCTGAACATCTAAACCGCGAGTGGGATGGGGTGTGGCTTCGTGACAATGATCAAGAGCAGCTGCTCACCGATTTGACTGCTCCAACGCAGTTACACCGCCGAAACACCAGCTATATGCGTGTGTCGGCTATTGCTGGTTAACAGCTGATTTGATTGAAGCTCTTATCTTTCGCTATTATTTACCACTTCCCCATACAGGCTCTCACAGACATCAGTACATTATGTATTTGCACCAGGTACCTTGTACAAAGCAACTTTGCACACTATTTATCCGTCAAATTTTTTATACTGAAAAGATCACAAAAATGTTTCCTATTGTAGAATGTTTGCTTAAAAAAAATAAAAATAATGTAACATGTTTTTTTTTCTTATGTTTTATTTGATCTTAGTTCCCTCGAATTATTAACTGCTTTATATTTATATTCACCAAGACCGGTATGATATTTATTTACTTTTGAGTTATTTTGGGCATATCACTGAAGTGTCAAAGTGTCCTGAGAGACTAATGTGGACGTTTTTTAAAAAACTGTCATAGAGCCTCGCCTGGTTTGTACTTGTCTTGTTAATATTAAATCTAATAAATTATGTAACACCCGTAGAATATAGATGTGTCATTTTTTTCATTACTGTTGGAATATAATTTCATTTTTTGTCGCATGTTATAACATCTCAGAATCCTTCTAGGGGTACATCTCAATAGTGTGGTCTAAAATCCTTCTAGGGGTACATCTCAATAGTGTGGTCTAATATCCTTCTAGGGGTACATCTCAATAGTGTGGTCTAATATCCTTCTAGGGGTACATCTCAATAGTGTGGTCTAAAATCCTTCTAGGGGTACATCTCAATAGTGTAGTCTAAAATCCTTCTGGGGTACATCTCAATAGTGTGGTCTAAAATCCTTCTAGGGGTACATCTCAATAGTGTGGCCTAAAATCCTTCTAGGGGTACATCTCAATAGTGAAGTATAATATCCTTCTAGGGGTACATCAATAATGTCGTTTAATATCCTTCTAGCAGGTAGAGTATAATATTATTAATATTATACCATTTAGCAGACGCTTTTATCCAAAGCGACTTAGTCATGTGTGCATAAATTTTTACGTATGGGTGGTCCCGGGGATCGAACCCACTACCCTGGCGTTACAAGCGCCATGCTCTACCAATTGAGCTACAGAGGACCCAGTCAAAAGTTTGGACACACCTACTCATTCCAGGGTTTTTATTAATTGTTTTACATTGTAGAATAATAGTGAAGACATCAAAACTATGCAATAACACATATCCACAATCACCCGACCTCAACCCAATTGAGATGGTTTGGGATGACTCGGACCGCAGAGTGAAGGAAAAGCAGCCAACAAGTGCTCAGCATATGTGGGAACTCCTTCAAGACTGTTGGAAAAGCATTCCAGGTGAAGCTGGTTGAGAGAATGCCAAGAGTGTGCAAAGCTGTCATCACGGCAAAGGGTGGCTGCTTTGAAGAATCTCAGATATAAAATATATTTTGATTGTTTAACACTTTTTTGGTTACTACATGATTCCATATGTGTTATTTCATAGTTTTGATGTCTTCACTATTATTCTACAATGTAAAAAATAGTACAAATAAAGGAAAAACCCTTGAATGAGTAGGTGTGGCCAAACTTTTGACTGCTACTGTATATCTCCACTAATTTATGATTTTAACAAAAATATCTTCCCCACGTAGATCAAGAGACTGTATTTCAACCATAAACACAGAAAGAAACCACGTCGCGCCACAATACCAGTATTCAGTCGTCTATTATCAGGGAAAATCTTTACAAAATATAAACATTTCTGCCATTCTCTGGTCCATCAGTCAGAAGTGCTTAACTGTAGTTAGACTAGAAAGGTGCGGTCTCTCCGGTGAGCAGTTGAAAGAAACAGCATCTTTATCCTACAAGGTACATATTTACATGTCACACAGATTTACTGGGCCATCACTCCACACACACACACACACACACACACACACACACACACACACACACACACACACACACACACGCACACACACACAGTTATCATTCAGACATACAGACCTTCCAAACCCACAGCGCTAATATGATATAGGGATAGTAGATAGTAGATACTATTGTGTCCCAAAGGGCAACCTATTCCCTACATAGTGCACTACTTTAGTTGTCTCATAGTCATAGGTCAAGGGTCAGAGGTTAGGGGTCACTTCCTGGCTTTGCCCTTGCCTTTGCCCTTTCCCTTCCCAGAATCCCCGGCTGTTGCCTTCTCCTTTTTGGGCTCCTTGGAGGGTTTGGCCTTCTTCTGCTGTGGAGGGGAGAGGAGAGGGGCGGGAGAAACAGGGAGGAGGGGGGAGGGAGAAACAGGGGGAGGGAGGTACAGGGGGGAGGGGGAAACAGGGGGGAGGGAGAAGGGAGAAACAGGAGGGAGGGGGGGAGAGAGAAACAGGGGGGAGGGGGGAGAGAGAAACAGGGGGGAGGGGGGAGAGAGAAACAGGGGGGAGGGGGAGGGAGAAACAGGAGGGAGGGGGGAGAGAGAAACAGGAGGGGGGGGGGGAAGACGGAGAGGAAGAGGAAGAGAGAAAAATAAAGTGATTATCTGATTCAGATTCACCAGTGTGTTATACATCACCAGTGTGTTATACAGTGGGGAAAAAAGTATTTAGTCAGCCACCAATTGAGCAAGTTCTCCCACTTAAAAAGATGAGAGAGGCCTGTAATTTTCATCATAGGTACACGTCAACTATGACAGACAAATTGAGAGAAAAAAAATCCTGAAAATCACATTGTAGGATTTTTAATGAATTTATTTGCAAATTATGGTGGAAAATAAGTATTTGGTCACCTACAAACAAGCAAGATTTCTGGCTCTCACAGACCTGTAACTTCTTCTTTAAGAGGCTCCTCTGTCCTCCACTCGTTACCCGTATTAATGGCCCCTGTTTGAACTTGTTATCAGTATAAAAGACACCTGTCCACAACCTCAAACAGTCACACTCCAAACTCCACTATGGCCAAGACCAAAGAGCTGTCAAAGGACACCAGAAACAAAATTGTAGACCTGCACCAGGCTGGGAAGACTGAATCTGCAATAGGTAAGCAGCTTGGTTTGAAGAAATCAACTGTGGGAGCAATTATTAGGAAATGGAAGACATACAAGACCACTGATAATCTCCCTCGATCTGGGGCTCCACGCAAGATCTCACCCCCGTGGGGTCAAAATGATCACAAGAACGGTGAGCAAAAATCCCAGAACCACACGGGGGGACCTAGTGAATGACCTGCAGAGAGCTGGGACCAAAGTAACAAAGCCTACCATCAGTAACACACTACGCCGCCAGGGACTCAAATCCTGCAGTGCCAGACGTGTCCCCCTGCTTAAGCCAGTACATGTCCAGGCCCGTCTGAAGTTTGCTAGAGTGCATTTGGATGATCCAGAAGAGGATTGGGAGAATGTCATATGGTCAGATGAAACCAAAATAGAACTTTTTGGTAAAAACTCAACTCGTCGTGTTTGGAGGACAAAGAATGCTGAGTTGCACCCAAAGAACACCATACCTACTGTGAAGCATGGGGGTGGAAACATCATGCTTTGGGGCTGTTTTTCTGCAAAGTGAACAGGACGACTGATCCGTGTAAAGGAAAGAATGAATGGGGCCATGTATCGTGAGATTTTGAGTGAAAACCTCCTTCCATCAGCAAGGGCATTGAAGATGAAACGTGGCTGGGTCTTTCAGCATGACAATGATCCCAAACACACCGCCCGGGCAACGAAGGAGTGGCTTCGTAAGAAGCATTTCAAGGTCCTGGAGTGGCCTAGCCAGTCTCCAGATCTCAACCCCATAGAAAATCTTTGGAGGGAGTTGAAAGTCCGTGTTGCCCAGCGACAGCCCCAAAACATCACTGCTCTAGAGGAGATCTGCATGGAGGAATGGGCCAAAATACCAGCAACAGTGTGTGAAAACCTTGTGAAGACTTACAGAAAACGTTTGACCTGTGTCATTGCCAACAAAGGGTATATAACAAAGTATTGACCAAATACTTATTTTCCACCATAATTTGCAAATAAATTCATTAAAATCTTTTTTTCTCAACTTGTCTGTCATAGTTGACGTGTACCTATGATGAAAATTACAGGCCTCTCTCATCTTTTTAAGTGGGAGAACTTGCACAATTGGTGGCTGACTAAATACGTTTTTCCCCCACTGTACATCACCAGTGTGTTCTACATCACCAGTGTGTTCTACATCACCAGTGTGTTCTACATCACCAGTGTGTTCTACATCACCAGTGTGTTCTACATCACCAGTGTGTTCTACATCACCAGTGTGTTCTACATCACCAGGGTGTTCTACATCACCAGGGTGTTCTACATCACCAGTGTGTTATACATCACCAGTGTGTTCTACATCACCAGTGTGTTCTACATCACCAGTGTGTTCTACATCACCAGTGTGTTATACATCACCAGTGTGTTATACATCACCAGGGTGTTCTACATCACCCGTGTGTTATACATCACCAGTGTGTTATACATCACCAGTGTGTTCTACATCACCAGGGTGTTCTACATCACCAGTGTGTTATACATCACCAGTGTGTTCTACATCACCAGGGTGTTATACATCACCAGTGTGTTCTACATCACCAGTGTTATACATCACCAGTGTGTTATACATCACCAGTGTGTTCTACATCACCAGGGTGTTCTACATCACCAGTGTGTTATACATCACCAGTGTGTTATACATCACCAGTGTGTTCTACATCACCAGTGTGTTCTACATCACCAGTGTGTTCTACATCACCCGTGTGTTCTACATCACCCGTGTGTTATACATCACCAGTGTGTTATACATCACCAGTGTGTTCTACATCACCAGGGTGTTCTACATCACCAGTGTGTTCTACATCACCAGTGTGTTCTACATCACCAGTGTGTTCTACATCACCAGTGTGTTCTACATCACCAGTGTGTTCTACATCACCAGTGTGTTCTACATCACCAGTGTGTTCTACATCACCAGTGTGTTCTACATCACCAGTGTGTTCTACATCACCAGTGTGTTCTACATCACCAGTGTGTTCTACATCACCAGTGTGTTCTACATCACCAGTGTTATACATCACCAGTGTGTTATACATCACCAGTGTGTTATACATCACCAGTGTGTTCTACATCACCAGTGTGTTCTACATCACCAGTGTGTTCTACATCACCAGGGTGTTCTACATCACCAGTGTGTTCTACATCACCAGTGTGTTCTACATCACCAGTGTGTTCTACATCACCAGTGTGTTCTACATCACCAGTGTGTTCTACATCACCAGGGTGTTCTACATCACCCGTGTGTTATACATCACCAGTGTGTTATACATCACCAGGGTGTTATACATCACCAGTGTTATACATCACCAGTGTGTTCTACATCACCAGTGTGTTCTACATCACCAGTGTGTTCTACATCACCAGTGTGTTCTACATCACCAGTGTGTTCTACATCACCAGTGTGTTCTACATCACCAGGGTGTTCTACATCACCAGGGTGTTCTACATCACCAGTGTGTTATACATCACCAGTGTGTTCTACATCACCAGGGTGTTCTACATCACCAGTGTTATACATCACCAGTGTGTTCTACATCACCAGTGTGTTCTACATCACCAGTGTGTTCTACATCACCAGTGTGTTCTACATCACCAGTGTGTTCTACATCACCCGTGTGTTATACATCACCAGTGTGTTATACATCACCAGTGTGTTCTACATCACCAGTGTGTTATACATCACCAGTGTGTTATACATCACCAGGGTGTTCTACATCACCAGTGTGTTCTACATCACCAGTGTGTTCTACATCACCAGTGTGTTCTACATCACCAGTGTGTTCTACATCACCCGTGTGTTATACATCACCCGTGTGTTATACATCACCAGTGTGTTCTACATCACCAGGGTGTTCTACATCACCAGTGTGTTCTACATCACCAGTGTGTTCTACATCACCAGTGTGTTCTACATCACCAGTGTGTTCTACATCACCAGTGTGTTCTACATCACCAGGGTGTTCTACATCACCAGTGTGTTCTACATCACCAGGGTGTTCTACATCACCAGTGTGTTCTACATCACCAGTGTGTTCTACATCACCAGTGTGTTCTACATCACCAGTGTGTTCTACATCACCAGTGCGTTCTACATCACCAGGGTGTTCTACATCACCAGTGTGTTCTACATCACCAGTGTGTTCTACATCACCAGTGTGTTCTACATCACCAGTGGGATATACATCACCAGGGTGTTATACATCACCAGTGTGTTCTACATCACCAGTGTGTTCTACATCACCAGGGTGTTCTACATCACCAGTGTGTTCTACATCACCAGTGTGTTCTACATCACCAGGGTGTTATACATCACCAGTGTGTTCTACATCACCAGTGTCTTCTACATCACCAGTGTGTTCTACATCACCAGTGTGTTCTACATCACCAGGGTGTTATACATCACCAGTGGGATATACATCACCAGGGTGTTATACATCACCAGTGTGTTCTACATCACCAGGGTGTTCTACATCACCAGTGTGTTCTACATCACCAGTGTGTTCTACATCACCAGTGTGTTCTACATCACCAGGGTGTTCTACATCACCAGTGTGTTCTACATCACCAGTGGGATATACATCACCAGTGTGTTCTACATCACCAGTGTGTTCTACATCACCAGTGTGTTCTACATCACCAGTGTGTTCTACATCACCAGTGTGTTCTACATCACCAGGGTGTTCTACATCACCAGGATGTAGGGTGTTCTACATCACCAGTGTGTTCTACATCACCAGTGTGTTCTACATCACCAGGGTGTTCTACATCACCAGTGTGTTCTACATCACCAGGGTGTTCTACATCACCAGTGTGTTCTACATCACCAGTGTGTTATACATCACCAGTGTGTTATACATCACCAGTGTGTTCTACATCACCAGTGTGTTCTACATCACCAGTGTGTTATACATCACCAGTGTGTTCTACATCACCAGTGGGATATACATCACCAGGGTGTTCTACATCACCAGTGTTATACATCACCAGTGTGTTATACATCACCAGTGTGTTCTACATCACCAGTGTGTTCTACATCACCAGTGTGTTCTACATCACCAGGGTGTTCTACATCACCAGTGTGTTCTACATCACCAGTGTGTTATACATCACCAGTGTGTTATACATCACCAGTTCTATATTCAGGTCAAGGAATGGATTGTTCATCTTTCAGAACGAGCATGTGTGTGCATAAAAGTGTGTGTGTGTGTGTGTGTGTGTGTTGTGTTGTGTGTGTATATCTACAGGTAACTGCCAAAATAAAGGAAACCCCAACATGAAGTGTCTTAACAGGGCGTTGGGCCTCCACGAGCCAGAACAGCTTCAATGCGCCTTGGCATAGATTCTACAAGGGTCTGTGCCACTCCAGAATCTCCCACCATTCAGGGACCGCTCATTCCCTGTGGATGGGTGCATTCCCCCTCGTACGGCCCAGTACATCACTGGGGCCGAGCTTCCTGCCATCCAGGACCTCTATACCAGTACATCACTGGGGCCGAGCTTCCTGCCATCCAGGACCTCTATACCAGGCGGTGTCAGAGGAAGCCCCTACAAACGGTCAAAGACTCCAGCCACCCTGGTCATAGACTGTTCTCTCTGCTACCGCACGGCAAGCGGTACCAGAGCGCCAAGTCTAGGTCCAAGAGGCTTCTTAACAGCTTCTACCCCCAAGCCATAAGACTCAAGAACATCTAATCAAATGGCTACCCGGATTATTTGCATTGTCCACCCCCCCACCCCTCTTTTACGCTGCTGCTACTCTCTGTTTATTTTCTATGCATAGTCACTTTAATAACTCTACCTACATGTACATATTACCCCAATTACCTCGACTAACCGGTGCCCCCGCACATTGACTCGGTACCGGTACCCCCCTGTATATAGCCTCATTATTACCTGGACTAACCGGTGCCCCCGCACATTGACTCGGTACCGGTACCCCCTGTATATAGCCTTATTATTACCTCGACTAACCGGTGCCCCCGCACATTGACTCTGTACCGGTACCCCCTGTATATAGCCTCCCTACTGTTATTACACATTGACTCTGTACCGGTACCCCCCTGTATATAGCCTCCCTACTGTTATTTCCCATTGACTCTGTACCGGTACCCCCCTGTATATAGCCTCCCTACTGTTATTTCCCATTGACTCTGTACCGGTACCCCCCTGTATATAGCCTCCCTACTGTTATTTCCCATTGACTCGTACCGGTACCCTCCCTGTATATAGCCTCCCTACTGTTATTGTTTCCCATTGACTCTGACCGGTACCCCCCTGTTATATAGCCTCCCTACTGTTATTTCCCATTGACTCTGTACCGGTACCCCCCTGTATATAGCCTCCCTACTGTTATTTTACTGCTGCTCTTTAATTATTTGTTACTTTTATTTAGTATTATTTTATATTGTATTGTTTTGGTATTCTTTCTTAAAACTGCATTGTTGGTTAAGGGGCTTGTCAGTAAGCATTTCACTGTAAGGTCTACTACACCTGTTGTATTCGGCGCACGTGACAAATACAATTTGATTTGATTTTGATTTGACATCCTGGAAGAGACCACTCCAATCAGGATAGAAATGATTCACCAGAGGTCGAAGGTGATCCCTCAGAATGTCTGTGTGTTTACTGGCGTTTCCCCATGTCCTCTAAGGGGCTGAGTGGACCCAAACCATGCCAGGAAACTGCACCCCACACCACAGAGCTGCCAGAACCCTTTACTCAAGTGTTTCCTTTATTTTGAAAGTTATCTGTATATATAAGTGTGTGTGTGTGTGTGTGTGTGGTGTGTGTGTGTGTGTGTGTGTGTGTGCAGTGGTACAGTACATTTCGACACTAGAATGAATGTTTCTGACTCATATCGATGCCACATTGGCCGTTTAAAACAAGAGAAGTTGGTTCTAAAGGGGCAGCTGACCTTTAAATAATTCCCAATTTCTTCTAAAAATAAGTTGGGAAAAAATAAAAATGTAAGAGAAGTGGGGGGTATATATATATATACACTGTCTAGAAGTGTGTTCCTCCTTACTTTGATCATGGCGTCAGCTGCAACACCTTCCTCCTCCTCCTCTTCCTCAGGCTGTTCCTCTCGCCCCTCTCCTCCCAGCTCCGCCTCCGCTCCCCCGCCACGACGGCCCTTCTTGATTGGTTGGAGGGAGTAGGGTGTCAGGTGGGTCTCACGGTTATAGGCCCTCGTGAACGCTGACTTCACCTGGGCACAGATTAGATTAATACCATTATTACAATCACAGATTGGGATTATTATTATAATAGGGCTCTGGTCTAGTTTATCATAGGGGTCAGGTCAGGTCAGGCTGCCCACCCTCGCCCCCACCCCTAATCCCGTCTCCTCTGACCTTGGGGTCTAGTTTAGCATAGGGGTCAGCCCCCCCACCCCTCCCCCCGTCTCCTCTGACCTTGGGGTCTAGTTTAGCATAGGGGTCAGCCCCCCCCACCCCTCCCCCCGTCTCCTCTGACCTTGGGGTCTAGTTTAGCATAGGGGTCAGCCCCCCCACCCCTCCCCCTGTCTCCTCTGACCTTGGGGTCTAGTTTAGCATAGGGGTCAGCCCCCCCCACCTCTGACCTTGGGGTCTAGTTTAGCATAGGGGTCAGCCCCCCACCCCTCCCCCCGTCGCCTCTGACCTTGGGGTCTAGTTTAGCATAGGGGTCAGCCCCCCACCCCTCCCCCCGTCGCCTCTGACCTTGGGGTCTAGTTTAGCATAGGGGTCAGCCCCCCCACCCCTCCCCCCTGTCTCCTCTGACCTTGGGGTCTAGTTTAGCATAGGGGTCAGCCCCCCCCACCCCTCCCCCCGTCTCCTCTGACCTTGGGGTCTAGTTTAGCATAGGGGTCAGCCCCCCCCACCCCTCCCCCCCATCCCCTCTGACCTTGGGGTCTAGTTTAGCATAGGGGTCAGGCTGCCCCCCCCAGAGGCTGATCTCCATGAGGCTGTCCACATCCTCTCTGACCAGGTGGTAGTCATCTAACAGCTGGACGGCCTGACCAGCCCCCTCCGCCCCCTGCCTCTGGAGAGGACACAACAGGGCCATGCGGAGGTAGGGCAGGTAGTCCAGGCTCACTGCCTGTCTGCTACTTAATGTCCTGAAGGAGATGGGAGATGGAGGGGGGGAGATAGAGGAGGGGGAGGAGAAGGAGGACGGGGGGAGCGAGGAGGAGGTGAAGCGGACGAGGGAGAAGGGGGAGGAGAGGAGGAGGGGGGGGGAGGGGGAGGGGGAGGGGGGGGAAGAGGAGGAGGGGGGGGATGAGGGAGAGGGGGAGAGAGGGGGGGGAGAGAGGAGGAGGGGGAGAGAGGCGAGGGGGGAAGAGAGAGGGAGGAGGGGCGAGAGGAGGAGGGGATCGAGGGGGGGGAAAAGAGGGGAGGGAGGGGGGGGGAAGGGGGGAGAATAGAGGAGGGGGGCGAGGAAAGGGGGGAAGTAGGGGGGAGGGGGGGGCGGGCCGAGCGAGGAGGAGGGGGGGAGGACGAGGAGGAGCGGAGGAGGGAGGGGGGCAGGGAGGAGAGGGGGAGAGAGAAGGAGGGGGAGAGGAGGAGGGGCAGAGAGGGGGAGAAGGAGGAGGGGGGCCCGGAGAGGGAAGGGAGAGGGGGGAGATGAGAGGGAGGGGGGGGAGGAAGGGGAGAGGGACGAGAGAGGCGGGGAGAGGGGGGGGAGAGAGTGAGGCGGGGGGGAGATAGGGAGGGGCAGGGGAGAGGAGGGGGGGGGAAGATAGGAGGAGGGGGAGAGCGAGGAGGGGGGAAGAAAGGAAGAGATAGGAGGAGGGGGAGAAAGGAGGAGGGGGGAAGAGATCGGAGGAGGGAGGGGAGAGGAGGATGGGAGGGGGGAGATGGGAGGGGGGAGAGGGAGAGAGGAGGTTGAGAGAAGAGGAGAGAGGTGGGGGAGAGAGGGAGGGGTAAGAGGGGGGGGAGAGATAGGAGGATGGGGGAGAGAAGAGGGGGGAGAGATAGGAGGAGGGGGGAGAGAAAAGGGGGAGAGAGGAGGGGGGAATTTGTTCATAGAAAACGTATTGTTGCAAAACATTTAGCTACAGTGTGCAACTAATGAATATACCCCAGATGAGTCCAAGCTCCTGGTTGAGTGTGAGGCTGTAAGACTGTGTGTCTATACCAGTGTGTATCAGACTGTGTGTCTATACCAGTGTGTATCAGACTGTGTGTCAATACCAGTGTGTATCAGACTGTGTGTCTATACCAGTGTGTATCAGACTGTGTGTCTATACCAGTGTGTATCAGACTGTGTGTCTATACCAGTGTGTATCAGACTGTGTGTCTATACCAGTGTTGTATCAGACTGTGTGTCTATACCAGTGTGTATCAGACTGTGTGTCTATACCAGTGTGTATCAGACTGTGTGTCTATACCAGTGTGTATCAGACTGTGTGTCTATACCAGTGTGTATCAGACTGTGTGTCTATACCAGTGTGTATCAGACTGTGTCTATACCAGTGTGTATCAGACTGTGTGTCAGTGTGTATCAGACTGTGTGTCTATACCAGTGTGTATCAGACTGTGTGTCAGTGTGTATCAGACTGTGTGTCTATACCAGTGTGTATCAGACTGTGTGTCTATACCAGTGTGTATCAGACTGTGTGTCTATACCAGTGTGTATCAGACTGGGGTGTCAGTGGACAGATGGTGTCTAACCAGTGGTATCAGACTGTGTGTCTATACCAGTTTTGTATCAGACTGTGGTTTCCCCAGTGGTATCAGACTTGGGTCTATACCGTGTGTATCAGACTGTGTGCTATACCAGTGTGTATCAGACGTGTGTTTTATACCAGTGTGTATCAGACTGGTGTCTATTTAACGGGTGTTTTTATCAGACGTTTTTGGTTCAGTGTGTTTTTCCAGACTGGTTTCTATACCGGGTATCGATGGGTTATCCCTTCAGGTGTTCAGGATCGCTGTTGTTGTTTATACCCAAGTGTGTATAGACTGTGTGTTCCAATATTGATCGTGAATGTCGATTCATTAAAGGTTTGTTTAAACGTTTAATATGCTTCAAAAAGAATGATTTCTAATAATCTGTTGACTGGGACAATCTGAAATAGGCTACCTGAGGGACTTTGAAATGCAACTTTCACCACGTGACATGTTATTTTTTTTGCGAACTTTGGATCTGAGTTGGGCATAAAGTTTGTATGTGAAAACTATTATAAAGACGCATTACGTTCAGTTTTTCCACAAGAGGGAGGCTCTCGGCCGGGGCTGGCACATGCTGCAGATCAAACACACAGCTGGAACGCCGATTAAGCTATTTACAGCCCCAATTTTTTAAAAAGATGTCTCAGAAAACCAGGCGTTTTAATCAGCGTGCGCTTATTTCTATTTTCACCTCACGCGATTTAAGAAGCAGAGTAAACGGTTTCCTGACTATGCTTTAATCTGCCTCTGCATATCAGTTTAATATCTATTTTACTGTGGGGTTGTGGTGTGGTGTTGGGGTGTGTGTGGGGGTGTGTGTGTGTTTACCGGAGGCTCATTGGAGGCCAGCCCTGAATGATCCGAGGGGTGTTTTGCAGGAGGAGAACTTTCCCAGCCGGGAGGGAAAGGAGGGGAAGGAGTTCATGTAGCCACGCATCAACTCTCCGGGGAACACACTGGAGTAGATCGCCTGAGAAAAACCACACACAAAACACAAACCCACCCACACCCACCAAAAACACAAACCCCAACACACACACAACCCCGTTTAAAACCCCCAACAGACACTTAGTTCAACCGCACCCCTTTCCCCGGCGCTTTTAAGCCAACGTTAGGGCAACCCACAAAAAAAAAAAAGGAAATTTTAGCAAAACATTCGAGGTTTTTCCCCTCGGGGGGGTGTGGTGTTGGGGGTTTTGTGTGTGTTTTGGTGGGGGGGTTTTGTGTGGGTTGTTTGTGTGGTTTGGGGGGTGGGGGGTGTTAAACCCTGGTGGGGTGGGGGGGGTTAAAATTTGGGGGTTTTTCCCCCGGTTTCCCACACAGAAGAAAGGCAGAGGAGGAAAAAGGGGGGAAACCAAAACAAGGAGGAAAGAGAGAAGAGAGGAAAAGGAGGGGAAACAAGAGAAGAGAGAAGAGAGAGAGACGGGAAAAGAAAAGAGAGAGGGAGAAGAGGGGAACGGGAGAGAGGGAGAGAGAGAGAAATTTTTTAAAAGAGAAGGGAGGAGAGAGAGACAGGGGAAGAGAGAGAAAAGGGGGAAAGAAAAAGGGGAGAAGGACGAGACAGAGGAAGAGAGAAAAAGAGGAGAAAAGGGAGAAAAAAGAGGGGAGAAGAGAGAATAAAGCAAAAGGGGGGAGAAAGAAGAGAAGAGAAGAGAAGAGAGGGAGAAGAGGAGAAAAGAGAGAGAAAGGAGAAAGAGGAGGGGGAGAGAAAGGGGGCCAGAGGGGAGGGGAAGAGAGAAAAGAAAAAGGGGGAGGAGGAGACAGACGAGAGAAGAGAAGAGAGAGGGGAGAGAGGAGAGGGGGGGAAGAGAGAGAGAGAGAGGGGGAGAGGCCCCCCCGGGGAAAAAGGAGGGACCCAACCGGGGGGGACAAGAAAAAATTTTGAGGGGGCCCGGGGGGGCCCAAGAACACACAGAACAAAGGGAGAAAGGGAGCGGGAAACCCGGGGAAAAGAAGGGAGCCGGAAAAAAGGGAAAGGGAGGGAAAGGGAAAAGGGAGGACAGGGAAAGGACAAAAGGGAGAAAGGGATTTTGGGAAACCCGGGAGTGGTTTTTTTGGTTTTAACCGGGAAAACCCGGGACTGTTTTTAACCTGGGGGGACCGGGGGGTTTTGGTTTTCCCCCTACGGGGAATTTAAACATGGTGAAAGGGTTTATGTCGGGTGTTTTAAAACCTGGTGAACGGGGTTTTAAAGTTGGTTTTAAACCGGTGGGGAAGGGTTTATTTTTCCTGTGTATTAACATGGGGGAAAGGGTTTATGTCTGGTTTTAAACCCCCCCCCCCCCCTGGTGTTTCGGGGTTTTAGTCTGTGTATTAACCTGGTGAGATAGGGTTTATGTCTGTGTATTAATTTTGGTGATACGGGGGTTTATGTCGGGGTTTTAAACCTGGTGAAAGGGTTATGTTCTGTGTTTTAACCCTGGTGTTTAAGGGGTTTTATGTTGGGTTTTAAAAGGGGAAAAGGGGTTTATGTTGTGTTTTAAACCCCTGGGGGATACGGGGTTTTATGTTTTGTGTATTAACCTGGTGGATGGGGTTTTAGTCTGTGTATTAACCTGGGAAAATAGGGTTTATTTTGGGGGAATTAACCTGGGAAAGGGGGTTTAGTTGTGTTTTTTAAACCTGGTAAACAGGGTTTATGTCGGTGTTTTAAACCTGGTGGTTTAAGGGTTTATGTTGTGTATTAAACTGGTAAATTGGGGTTTTTAGGTTGTGTAAAAACCGGGTTTCCCGGGGGTTTTATTTTGGGTTTAATTAAACCTGGTGAAAGATTTTTATGTCTGTGTTTTTAACCTGGTGGATAGGGTTTATGTCTGTGTATTAACCGGGTTTGGAGTTTGGGTTTAGTCGGGGTGTTTTAAACCCTTTTTTTGGGGTGAAAGGGGTTTTTATGTCTGTGTTTTTAAACCCTTTTGGTGAGAGGGGGTTTTATTTTTGTGTTTTAACCCGGGTGAGATAGGGTTTTATGTCGTGTTTTAAACCCGGGAGAAGGGTTTAGGTCTGTTTTTTAAACCTGGTGAAAAGGGGTTTTTAGGGTTGTGTAAAACCCTGGTGAACAGGGTGTTTTTGTTGTTTTAACCTGGTGAACGGGGTTTTTAGGCTGTGTATTAACCTGGTGAACGGGGTTTTTATGTTGTGTATTAACGGGGTGAGATGGGGTTTTTATGTTGTGTTTTAAATTTTTGGTGGAAAAGGGTTTTTAGGGTTGTGTATCCCCCCTTTTGGTGAAAGGGTTATGTCGGTGATTAACTGGGAGATGGGGGTTTATGTCTGTGTATTAACCTGGTGAGATAGGGTTTATTTTTTTGGTTTTAAAATGGTGTTTACAGGGTTTATTTCTGTTTTAAAAACCTGGGTTTCCCGGGGTTTTAGGTCGGGTTTAAACCCCTGGTGTCCCGGGTTTATGCTGGGGTTTAAACCCTGGTGTTTAAAGGGTTTAGTTGTTTTTAAAACCTTTTGGGGAAAAGGGGTTTTATGTCGTGTATTCCCTGGTGAAAAGGGTTTTGTCGGGTTTTAACCTGGTGGATGGGGTTTTATGTCGGTGTATTAACCGGGTGAAAAGGGGGTTTTATGTGTGTTTTAAACCCTGGTAAATTTAAGGGGGGTTTTATTTTCTGGTATTAACCTGGGAGATGGGTTTTTTATGTTTTTTTTAATTAACCTGGTGAAAAGGGTTTATGTCTGTGTAAAAATTTTGGGGGAGATGGGTTTTGGTCGGGTGTAAAACCTTGGGTAAACAGGGTTTGGTCTGTGTTTTTAACCCTGGTGAAACAGGGTTTAGGTTGTTATTAAACCTGGTGAGAAGGGTTTATGTTGTGTAAAAACCCTGGTGAGATGGGGTTTTAAAGGTTGTGGTTTAACCTGGTAAAAGGGGTTTAGGTCTGTGTTTTAACCCTGGTGAGTAGGGTTTATGTCTTTTGAAATTAAACCCTGGTGAACGGGTTTTAGTTGGGTTTTAAAACCTTTGGTGTTTTACAGGGTTTTGTCTGGGGTTTTAAACCTGGTGTTTACAGGGTTTATGTCGGTGTTTTAACCCGGGTTTATAGGGGGTTTTATGTCTGTGTTTTAAAACCTGGTGAAAGGGTTTAGGTCTGGGGTTTTAACCTGGTGAGTGGGAGTTATGTCGGTGTTTTAAAACCGGGGTGAAAGGGTTATGTCTTTTGGATTAACCTGGTGATAAGGGTTTATGTATGGTTTATTAACCGGTAAAACCCAGGGTTTAGGGGTCTGTGTATTAACCTGGTGAAAAAGGGGGGGTTATGTCTGTGTTTTAAAACCTGGTGAAGGGGGTTTTTATGTCTGTGTTTTAAAACCTGGTGAGATAGGGTTTATGTTGTGTTTTTAAACCCTGGTAAAGTTTGGGTTTATGTCTGTGTTTTAACCGGGGTTGAAAACAGGGTTATTTGTTTGTTTTAACCCTGGGGGAACAGGGGTTTTAGTCTGGTTTTAAACCTGGTGAAAGGGGTTTTATGTCTGGGGATTACCTGGTGATACAGGGTTATGTCTTTTGTTTTTTACCCTGGTGAGAAAAGGGTTTAGGTCTGGTTTTAAAAACCGGGTGTACGGGGTTTATGTCGGTGTTTAACCTGGTGAAAGGGTTTGGTCTGGGTTTTAAACCTGTTACAGGGTTTATGTCTGTATTAACCGGGTTTGATCCCGGGTTTATGTCGGGTATAACCTGGTGAAAGATTTTATGTTGTGTATTAACCGGGTGAACGGGGTTTTATGTCTGTGTTTAAACCCTGGTGATACGGGGTTGTTTTTGTTTGGGTTATTTAAACCTGGAGATAGGGTTTTTTTCTTGTTTTAAAAACCTGGTGATACAGGGTTTATGTCTGTGTATTAACCTGGTGATACAGGGTTTATGTCTGTGGTTTTAAACCGGGTTTAAAAGGGGTTTTTAGTCTGTGTATTAACAATGGGTTTTTTGGTTTTTAAACAGGGTTTTTGTCTGTGTTTTAACTGGTGAGTTTGGGTTTTTATGTCTGGTTTTAAAACCCCCCTTTGGTGGAAAGGGGTTTTAAAAAAGGGTTCTTTTTTGTTTTTTCCCCGGGTTTGTTTACGGGGGGTTTTGTTTGTTTTAAAACTGGTGAAAGGGTTTGGGTCTGTGTAAACCTGGTAAAGTTTGATTTTATGTCTGTGTAAAAAGGGTTAAATTAAAGGGTTTAGTCTGGTTTTAAAACCGGTGAAAGGGTTAGGCGGGTGTTTTAAACCCTGGTAAACCCAGGGTTTGGTTTTTCGGGGAAAGGGTTTTATTTTTTCACCAGCGCTGCATTTTTAACTTTAAATGTAGTTATTTTTTGGATGAACAGGGGGCCCAGGAGTAATCGGGGAAAAGGAAAGGTCTGACTTGTCAATCAACGTCATGTGACTTGACTCCTCCCCTTGGAAAAAAACCCCCGGCAAAACGTAAACGGCCCAGCTTTCCCCTTTTGGTTCCCTGCATTACACACACACACACACCACAAAAAACCACCAAAACACACACCCCACCCCCTTAACCCCCCCTAAACAAAAAAATGACAGGGTTTTCACACACACACAAAAACAACCAAACACCCTTGGTCCCCAAACAAAAAAAATTTAAAAAGGGGGAAAAAAAAAAAAGGCCCGAAAAATTTTCACCCATTAAAAAAAAATTCCTTTTGGGGGTTCCCCCCATTTTCCCTTAATTTTCCATCACAAAAGACAAAGCCCTTAAAAACCCAAAAACCCATTCCTCTAAACCTTTGCGTGCGTTGGGGGGTCCTCGGGGCCCCGGTCTTTAGGGGTCATGCCCTTTTTCCTTGGCCCCCAACATTTCAAGTTGTGGAGGACCTGCAGACCAGTTGCCATGGTTATCGACGGTTGCCACAGTTACAGAAGATTGTCATAGTTACCGACGATTGTAATAGCTACGGATGATTTCATTTAACAACATGTTTTAAAAAAGTATTAATCCCTTATTTACCTGTCGGATGTCTTGATTGGACGCCAGGATCATCTCGTTTAGGGCAGGAGGCGGGATTTTCAGACCCTCTTTGAAAGCAATGGACATCATGGCACCCTGAGAGAGAGAGATGAGGGAGAGAGAAGGAGGGAGGGAGAGAGATGGAGGGAGAAGAGGGGGAGAGGAGAGAGAGAGAGGAGGAGGGAGAGAGAGGACGCGGAGAGGGACGAGGAGAGAGAGAAGGAGGGAGAGGAGAGAGAACGGAGGGAGAGAGACGGAGGGAGAGAGAAGGAGAGAGAGAGACGGAGGGAGAGAGAGAGGAGGGAGAGAGAGAGAGAGACGGAGGGAGAGAGAGAGAGACGGAGGGAGAGACGAGAGGAGAGAGACGGAGGGAGAGAGAGAGAGACGGAGGGAGAGAAGAAGGAGAGGAGAGAGGAGAGAGGTATTAAGATGAAAAGAGAGATGATGGCCTCCCGAGCGGCGCAGCGGTCTAAGGGCGTTACTACAGACCCAGGTTCATTCCCGGGCTGTGCCACAACCGGCCGTGGCCGGGAGTCCCATAGGACGGCGCACAATTGGCCCAGCGTCGTCCGGGTTAGTGGAGGGTTTGGCCCAGCGTCGTCCGGGTTAGTGGAGGGTTTGGCCCAGTGTCGTCCGGGTTAGGGGAGGGTTCGGCCCAGCGTCGTCCGGGTTAGGGGAGGGTTCGGCCCAGCGTCGTCCGGGTTAGTGGAGGATTTGGCCCAGCGTCGTCCGGGTTAGGGAGGGTTTGGCCCAGCGTCGTCCGGTTAGTGGAGGGTTTGGCCCGCGGTCGTTAGGGAGGGTTTGGCCCAGCGTCGTTAGGGGAGGGTTGGCCCAGCGTCGTCCGGGCTAGGGAGGGTTTGGCCCAGCGTCGTCCGGGTTAGGGGAGGGTTTGGCCCAGCGTCGTCCAGGGTTAGGGGAGGGTTCGGCCCCAGCGTCGTTTAGGGGAGGGTTTGGCCCAGCGTCGTCCGGGTAGGGAGGGTTTGGCCCAGCGTCGTCCGGGTTAGGGGAGGGTTTGGCCCAGCGTCGTCCGGGTTAGGGGAGGGTTTGGCCCAGCGTCGTCCGGGTTAGGGGAGGGTTTGGCCCAGCGTCGTCCAGGTTAGGGGAGGGTTCGGCCCAGAGTCGTCCGGGTTAGGGGAGGTTCGGCCCCAGCGTCGTCCGGGTTAGGGGAGGGTTTGGCCCAGAGTCGTCCGGGTTAGGGGAGGGTTTGGCCCAGCGTCGTCCGGGTTAGGGGAGGGTTTGGCCCAGCGTCGTCCGGGTTAGGGGAGGGTTTGGCCCAGCGTCGTCCGGGTTAGGGGAGGGTTTGGCCCAGCGTCGTCCGGGTTAGGGGAGGGTTTGGCCCAGCGTCGTCTGGGTTAGGGGAGGGTTTTCGGCCCGGGGGGGCCGTCGTCCGGGTTAGGGGAGGGTTCGGCCGGTGGGGCTTTACTTGGCTCATTGCGCTCTAGCGACTCCTTGTGGCGGGCCGGGCGCCTGCAAGCTGACTTCGGTCGCCAGTTGAACGGTGTTTCCTCCGACACGTTGGTGCGGCTGGCTTCCGGGTTAAGCTGGCGGGTGTTAAGGAGCGCGGTTAAGGCGGGTCATGTTTCGGAGGACGCATGACTCCACATTCGCCTCTCCCGAGCCCGTTTGGGGAGTTGCAGCGATGAGACAAGATCGAAAATTGGGGAGAAAAACTATTTGACTCTACATTGACTGGTTAATGCGTTTCTGTTTCTGTGTGTTAATGTGATGCATTGTGGTTTTCCTGGCGTGTGTTTTCCTGGGTGTGTTTTCCTGGCGTGTGTTTTCCTGGCATGTGTTTTCCTGGCGTGTGTTTTCATGTTGTGTGTGTGTGTGTGTACCTTGATCTGTTCTAGTCGTGGTCTCTGGAAGCGCAGGTCAAAGCAGTAGTTGGCCAAGGAGCGGATCTTCTGGTGGTTACGGTCATTACACATACAGATGATGGGGATCTTGGACTGTTTAATCAGACCTATCATCTCCTACAGGGGTCAGGGGTTAACGGTCATTACACATACAGATGGAGACAACTCTATCCTGTCTACCTGACATGGAGACAACTCTATCCTGTCTATAGTCTACCTGACATGGAGACAACTCTATCCTGTCTATAGTCTACCTGACATGGAGACAACTCTATCCTGTCTACCTGACATGGAGAACAACCCTCTATTCCTGGAATCTATCTTCTAACCTCTGGAACAGGAGGGAACTCTATCCTGTCTATAGTCTACCTGACATGGAGAACTCTTTCCCGTCTATACTACTACAGGGACAACTCTACCTGTCTATAGCCCTTACCCTGACATGGCCAGGACAAACTCTATCCTGTCATAGCCCTAATGGAGACCCATCCTCTAATCCTGTATTAGTC